TGGAATCCACGATGAGATGAAGCCAGAGGAGGCAGTTTCAAAGAGCTTAACAACATCTCTCTTGGGACCACTTTCCATCTCGTTTTACAGGACTGCTATGTGTTGACCTCCAAGCCAGATAAAGACACAGCCAGAAGAGAAAATGACAGACCGATATCCCTGATGAACATGGATGCAAAAATCCTCAACAAAACACTAGCAGACTGAATTCTATAGCATTTCAAAAGGATTATTCCCCTTAATCAAGCGGGATTTATCCCTGGGATGCAAGGATGGCTCAAGATCACAAATCAATAAGTACAATAGACCACATTAACAGAATGAAGGACAAAAACCATATGGCCATCTCATTGGATGCAAAAAAAACGGTTTGACAAAACTCAACATCCTTTCATGATTAAAGAAACTCTCAGCAAATTGGGTATATGACAGGAGAAATGTGCCTCGATACAGTCAAGGCCATATATGACAAGCTCACAGCTAGCGTCGTATTCAATGGTGAAAAGCTGAAAGCCTTTCCCTTAATATCAGGAAGAAGACAAGGAGACCCACTCTAGTGGCTTCTATTCAACATTGTCCCAGAAGTCCTAGCCAGGGCAATTTGGCAAGAGAAAGAAATCAAAGGCATCAAATAGAAAAGGAGGAAGTAAAATTGTCTCTGTTTGAAGATGACAGGATTTTATATAAGAAAACCCTGAAGACTCCACAAAAAAAAAAAACCTGTTAGAACTGGTCAACAAACTCAGCAAAGTTGACAGATACAAAATCAACATACAGAAATCAGTAGCCTTTCTATATATTATGAATTATCTGAAAAGGATCCCATTTACAATAGCATGAAAAGGAATAAAATACCGCCGTGTAAATTTAATCAAAGAGGGAGAAGACCTTTGTCCTAAAAACTATAAGACACTGATGAAAGAATTAATAAAATATTACAAATAAGTGGAAAGGCATTCCTTGTTCATGCATCAGAATTAATATTGTTAAAATGGCAGTACTACCCAAAGCAACCTATAAATTCAGTGCAATCCCTGTCAAATCCAAATGGCATTTTTTATATAAGTAAAAAAAAAAAAATCCCAAAATTCATATGGAACCATGAAAGACCCCAAATAGCCAAAACAGTCTTGAGAAAGAAGAACAGAGCAGGAGGCATTCCGCTTTCTGATTTCAAACTATATTATAAACCTACGAAATAAAAATTAGCATAAAAACAGACACATAGACTGATGGAACAGAATCTAGAACCTAGAAGTAAAGCCACACATACATGGTTAACAGACATTTTTTCGACTTTATTTTCTATAGAGATGTGGTCTCACAAAAGCGCCCAGTCTGATCTTGAACCCCTAAGCTCAAGTGATCCTCCCACCTCAGCCTACCAAGTAGCTGGGAATATAGGTTCGTACCATCATTCTTGGCTCGGGTTAACTAATATTTGACAAGGATGCCAAGAATACACAATCGGGAAAGAATTATCTTTTCAGTAAATGGTGTTAGAGAACAGACATACACAAGCCTAAGAATAAACTTTGACCCTTATCTTATACCACTCACAAAAATTATCTTGAAATGAACCAAAGCCTTAAATGTAAGACCTGAAAAGGTAAAACTCCTAGAAGAAAACCTAGCAAAAATCTCACTGAGAGTGGTCTTGGCAATGATTTTTTGGATTGGACACCAAAAGCACAGGAAACAAAAGCAAAAATGAACTAGTGCGGTTACATCCCATCAGAAAGCTTCCGCACCGCAAACAACGCAGTCAACCAAGTGGAAAGACAACCTAGGAACGGCGGAAGCATTTGCAAACCGTGTCTGACAAGAGGTTGATATCAAAATACATCAGAAGCTCGTACATCTCAATAGCAAAAAAAAAATAAAAAAAAGTAATAATCTGATGTTAAAATGGATAAAGGGCCTGAACATGGATTTTTCCAAAGGAGACATACAAAGACCAACCAGCACCCAAAAAGGTGTTCAAAATCACTCGCCATCAGAGAAATGCAACTCAAAACCACAAGCCAGCACTCCATACCTGTGAGCCTGGCCACTACCAAAAACACAAGACCAACAAGCACCCAAAAAGGTGTTCAAAATCACTCGCCATCGGAGAAATGCAATTCAAAACCACAAGCCAGCACTCCATACCTGTGAGGGTGGCCACTACCGAAAATACAAGAGGTCAGTGCTGAGGGTGGAGAGAAAGGGGCACCCTGTACACTGTCGGTGGGAGGAGGAACACTGCAGCCATTGTGGAAAACAGCTTGGAGGCTCCGCCAAATACGTGCAGTGAGAACTATCACATGGCCCAGCCGTCCCACTTCTGGGTATATGCCTCAAAGAAACAAAGCCGGTATCTCGAGGAGGTACCTGCAGTCCCATCGCTCTTATACCATTATTCACAGTAGCACATCATGAAATAACCTGTCTACCGACAAATCCATGGAAAGAAAATGTGAGACATATATATATAAAATCTTTGTGTACGTGATAGTGGTTAATAAAATGACAAATGAGAGCCAGAAGCAGGACATCGTCCTGTCATATAGAACAGAAAAACTGAAGATTCTGGTGCTGCATGACACACCCCGTCGTGTGTAAACAGCAGGTTAAGTCTGACTTCCCAGAGCATTGCCTCCTTCCCCATTTGTCTCTGTTGTCCAGATTTGCTGATGTTCTCTGGGTTTTCATATGTGCACACTTTCCTCCTCCAAGGAGCACAGAAAGGGCATTTAAAGCTGCCTCCTTACCCAGTATCCAGTGGGATACTGATCTCGGACCCCCAGGCTCAAGTGATCGTCCTCACACAAAGCACTTGCTGAGCTGGACCACGTTAAATAGCCTCATTGGAGCCTTGAGATTAGAAAAGTGCAGGCCAGTGTCACTCACACCAGGGGGAGGGGCCACCTCACAAGCCCAGCAGGTGTGGCCTCAGCAAGTGCTCACACCCGCAAGCCTGCCTGGTCACCCTTGGGCTGGCCTTAGGCCCTGGCTCTGATCACGTTCAGATGGAGCTGGGAGATGGAAAGAAAGCCCATCACTTTCCCAGGGTGAACCAGGGGCTGCTGGGGGGAGGCTGGGCAGATTTCTGCCAAGGACTCTTCCCCTTCAGCCCGTCTGTAGACAACCCTAGCAAACATTCAGAAAGAGAAGATGAGCAAATGTTGGATTTCCCTCGCAGATGGACTCGGGAGCCTACAGGGAGACTGTCAGCTGCTGAGATCCTGCTGGGAATGGCAGTGTTGGAGATTTCTGAGGAGTCGCTGACCTTCTCCCCCTCCCCTCTCATCTTAGCCAGAGGCCCTGAAGGAAAGGCTGCCAGCTTCACGTGACCTAAAATCCTCTCCCCTAAAAAAAAAATGCCATTGTGTAACAGCAGGCTTTCTCCCCGAGGGACAATTTCTGAACGGAGCTGGATGCGAGTCAGGAGTCAGGCCCTGGTCGGGCCGCAGGACCCTGGGCAAGGCACAGCCTCTATACCCTTTCCGACCTGGCCTCTGGGTCCAGATTTAAAACGGTAAAATCCTTCACAAGGCAGCCAGCCCCAGCTCTGCCTGCAAAGAACAAAGCTAGGGACCAGAAAGGAAACTTCGGGGTCGAAGGCAAGGGCTCCCCTTTCCTTCCCTGGTCACAGGAGGCTGCCCCAGGAGGGCCCGGGGGTAGGTTCACGATTCCCAGTGAATCCCAGCGTCCCACATTTTAGGACGCAGGTCTTGGTGAAACGGGGTGGGGGTCTCTTCGCTCTGGGAGTAACCCCGAGGTGATAGCGCCCTTACTGTTCCGGGGACCCCTTTTCACTCTGGGAGTCTCGGGCCTCGAAGGACCAGCTACTTAGAAACACTCGCAGTTCGCAGGGTTCCAACTTCCTTCCCCTTGCAGGGAGGGCGAGGCCGAGGGGCTCCCAACTCCCGGGCGTGAGGAAACCCGGAGGAAAAGGCCGGAGCTGGGGTGGCAGGACCCGGCAGGGATGCGGACAGGGGAAGCCGCGGACAGGAAAACGCGGGGCGAGGCAGCCCCGAGGGAGCGGGCAAGTGGGCCGGACTCTGGCGCCCTCCACGCCCGGCTGTCACAGAACATCGCGGCGGACCCTGGGCGGACGAGCGCCACGCTGAGCCGGGGGCACCGCGCGAGGCCCTGGGGACCCGGTGCTCACCCGCGGCAGGAACGGGCGGCCCGGTCTCCTCCCCGCATCCCTCTTCCCGCGGGCCGAACTCGGGGCTGGGGGGAGGTGGGGAGAGGGGCCGGCACCGGCTGGTCGCGGAAACGCGGGGCAGCGGGCGCAGCCCCACAAACCCTCCAGGGAGGTATCTGTTACTTCGTCAATTAATTAAGGGAAGGTGGAGCCCCCTCCGGTTTAAGCCGAACTCCGGCCAACCCGCGGGAGGCTGTGGGGTCGGGGGCTGAGTGCAGCCCCCGAAAGCAAAGGTGCGCCCCTCGGCGAGGGGCTGCTCCTGCGCTGGCGAAGAGGTGGAGGGGGGCTGGAGAGGAGACACTGTCTCTTAAAAAGTGATTTTAAAGTCTTGTAGGGCAGCAAGAAGGGAAGGGGTGGAGCCGACGTGTTAGGATAGGACGCGGGGCTGGGCGCCTCTGCGGGGCCTTCTTACCCCGGAGCCACTGGGCTGGGACCAAGTCTAAACAGACTAAACAGAGAGAACTCCAAGTAAAGGCCCAGGCCGGACACTACGCGCTGCCCGAACCTTGGCCCTGGACAGCGAGAGGCGCCTGCCAGAGCCCCCGGGAGGGTCCAGCCAGGTGCCCACCTGTCCCAGGAAGGAGCTGCGAGAAGGCCGGGCGGTGCATCCTGGCCAGATGTTTAAGACAGATGAGGAACGAGTAGTTAAAACCCACATTATATAGTTCTGTCGGGTATAAAATTGCATGTGCTGACCCATATATTCTAACTGGAAACGGACTCAAGTCACTTAAAATATTGCAACGTCGATAGGACTAATTAATTGGAAATAAGAAACGAAAGAATACAATTAAACGAGAAGAGAATCATTTTCTAATTTAATAGAGGGACATTTATAAAGATCACAAGCTAAAAGGCATCGAATGATTCTATCGACATTCTATTAAATCAGCCCCCGAGGCCTGCGTGGGGAGGAGGGCTCCAGGAGTGCCGAGTCCTGGGCCGGGGGTTCGGTGGCCGCCTGGAGTGGTTCCTGCTACGAACCGAACGTTTGCGCCGGTCGGACGCGGCCCTTTCCACAGAATTTGCTCTTCTTAGCCCGAGCCTCAGACCCAGCTACTCAGACCGCCCCAGCCGGGAGAATCCTGCCTCCCCGCCCGGGAGTCCCCGGTTCGCAGATATATTACAACAAAATTACTAATTGGAAAATGAAATTGTCAATAAAGCATACCCCCCGCGTATACAATATCCTTAAATATTAAGATATTTTATTAAACCCATTTCCTAACAATAATTTATTGCAATAAAACAGACACCACAGGTCCCCTTAAATTGTCTTTTCATAATGAATAAATTTAAGGGGGCTAATTAATATATAAACTAGCCCAATTTGTCAAGTTGATTTGTATTTTAGTTAATTGTGAAAGTAATTACCACATGGTCAAATTAACAGCTTTCTGGAAATGACCAAGCCTGAGGTTTTATTTCCTTCCTGGGTGAAGAAAATTCATTTTTCCAAGCTCTTGATGTGATGAATAAAAGTCATAAATCTGGGTGATTGGTGCAGGCAGAGTCTAAATGGCTTCATATTTCATTTTAGGTTTAATAGAAATATTCATGCTCTGTTTTAATGAAATTAAATTGAAGGGGGATGGGGCCGGGAGGTGGCGGTGGCCGGGGGCTTAAAGGGACAGCACACATTTTCCTTTGCCGCCCATGAGCCAGGGCGTAGGGGTCACCTCCGCAGGCTCCGGAGGGCCTCACTCCTGCTAGCAGGAACCGAGGGATGCCTGGGAGGGCCCTTCCTGCAGCGGCTCACCTGAGACGCAGGTGGGGCCAGCTACTAAAACCTCAGCGCAGGTGCACTGGGGCACCCTCAGCTCCCTCCAACGAGCGTGCGAAGTCACCGAACAAAGTAGAACTCTGCACTGGGGCGGGTTTGGTGCCCTTCTGCATGTCCCCCAAGCTTAGGCACGCGCAGCCCCGGGCGGGGTCCAGGGTCCTGCCCTCTTCCCCTGGGGTTGCGTCGGAGGGATGCTTGGCCACCGACACTGCGCGGTTCCCAGCACCCTCCCTCATGCCCTCGCTCTCCACCGCCCTGCGACCTCCAGCCAGGCTCTGCCTCGCGTGAAAACTGTCCCCGGCTGAGCCCAGACGCCAGGGCCCCCAGCCTTGCAGCCGTAGCGCTGAGCCGCACTGGCGCTGCCCCGCCTGCAAAGAAAGAGAAGTTTCCAGACATAGTTATGTGCATCCGGGTCGTGGTGCTGAGTTAAGGGGGGCCACGCTCTCAGCCGCTCTGGGAAGCTCGGGCGAGGCCAGAGGTCCGTTGGGGCGTCCCGGGGCTCCAGGACTGTCCCAGCCAGGCCGGCCCCTTAATGGAGCTGATCTGTGACTTGTTGATTTCCCCTGAGCAAATAAGGCTTTGACGCAGTTCCAGCAACAGCGGTGAGCTGATGAATTGACAAAACTAATCAGCTTTATCGGGAAACAGGTTAAGGCCACGGGCGTGTCAATAACTCTCAGCCTGACCCCCTGTCCATTAGCTCAGGCAGGCTGATTAGAGTAAGAAGACCCTCTCGCAGTTTGCGCTGAAATCGCTTCCATAAACTCACCATTATTAGCAGTCGATGCGAACAGCTCATTTAGAGAAGACATCGCAGGCAGGCCACATCTATCATCCGGGTTTATGGATCATTATCTCATTTACAGAATGTCGCAGGGTAATATGTTTTTGGCAATAGTCTTGGCCCCGCGCCTGGGCTGGCCGCTCTCTTTTTAGCAGCTTCCCGGGGACCTCCTTCCCCAGCGGCCTGGAACTCCGCGTGGACGCTCCTCAGGCGGGAAAGGAGGACAGGAAGCCGCCCTACACGTGCGTTCTGGCACGCCTGCACACAGGGCGCACACTCCTCAGGCGCTCGCCGCAGTCTGTGGCGCCCGGCTGTGAGCCCCGAGGACCAGCGTGGCAGGCGCCTCTCCAGCAAGCTCCTGGCTCAGAGCCCAATGTTAGGAGTTGCTTCAACCTCGGAGCCCGGGCGAATTAGGGGTTCTGCTCGGGCACCCGCATGCCCCAAGCTTGGTGGCAGAGCAGGTAGCCAGATGCATCCCAATTGGTGCGCGCGCTGCGCTTACCTGCGCCGAGGGGCGGCGGCCTCCCTGCTCAGGCCTCGGCCCACTAGGCCACAGAGGCCTGGGTGCCCTGGGACCGTCCATCCCTAGGAAAACCCCTCTCTACCCTCCGGCTCCCCCGGTTCCCCGGGCCTGAGGGCCTGACCTTCCCTTCCTGGGGCGTGCCTCTCCCCTCCTCCTCGGCTGCGACTCCGGGGCCCAGATGCTCTCAGGCTCCGGGAGTGAGCCACCTGTTCCACCGGGTAATTATTTTAATGTAAAGGGCCCAGAGTCACAGGATTCGCGCCTCCAGCAGCGACAGACGGCGGCGGGACAGAGGAGGCTCTCCAGCCTTTCAGTGGAATTTCCCAGATGGGCCGAGGGGACGCCGGGGCGGGTCACCAGGGGCCCTTTAACGAGTTCATTAGCCAAATTATCTTGCCCGCAGCACAGGGCCCCGGAGATTGCGAGGAGGGTGGGGGCAGGGGGCTGGAGGGTCTTTCTCCCTCCCATCTTGGTCTCTGCAGAAACAGCGGAGAGGGGCCTGTATGCCGAAGAGAAGAGAAAAGACCCAGCGGGCCCAGGCCGGCTGCTGCTAGGAGGGATCCTGGGGTTTGTTTCTGCCACAAACAGGACACCCGCTGTTTTCTGCTGGGAGGAGCCCAGCCCGGTCACAGGGCAAGTGGGAAAAGAAGTTATTAGAATCGTGCGAGGAGGAGGTTATAATATGATAATAACGCCATCGACCCAGATTCTGGACGCAGCCCTGGCCGACAGGCCTGCAGTCAGAGCAGGTGGCAGTCTTCGCGCCTGGGTCCTCAGCCGGTGGCCCCTCGGTGACCTTGAGGACGGTCCAGCTGTTCCCAGGTGTGGCGTAAGCTGCAGGAGAAGACGCTGAAATGCCAGAGCAACTGGAGCCTCCTGGCAGGGGTGGGCACGCTAGGGGCTTGGAACTGTCCAGAGTCCCATTTTCCATCTGCCCCCACCCCACACATCCTTACTCTGTGTGGGATGGTGGCTTCTCCATGCCTGCATTCTCTCTGGTAAAATATTCTCAGTTCAAATGGTGAGGTGGGCAGCGGGCTCTTTTTTCAGACAGGGGTCTGCTCTGTGGCCCCAGCTGGAGTTCACGTCCACCCGTGGGCTCAGGCGATTCTCCTGTCCCAGCCTCCCAAGTAGCTGGGACCACAGGCACGTGCCACTCCTTGGGCTCAGTCGTAGGTTCTGGACAGATTAGCTTCCCAGCGAGGTTAGAAAGCAAAGGGGAGAGGAATGGGTGCGGGGACAAAAGCTGCTCTCAAGGAGGGGAGGAGTGGGAAGAATTCGAGGCAATCCAGCCCAGTCCCCTGCCCTGTGGAGCCCCTCCCAGGCAGGTCCCAGCCAGGGCCCAGGAACACTGCTGGGGGCCTGGTCAGGCCTTGAATGCGTGCACCTGTGAGAAGAGGCTTGGGCAGGGTTGCCAGAGGGGAACTTGACCACAGACACCATTTGCCCATCCTGAGGAATCCCCCCTCCCTCACTGCCGCAGCTCTGAAAAGTGGAATAAGAGGAGGTTTCTCCTCTCTTTCTCTCCCTCTCCGTCTCTGTCAGCCGCCAGCAGCTGCAGCTTTTGCCACCTCAGCAACTACTAAATAGACCAATTAGCTCAGACTTCCTGCCATTATCGAACATGGGCTTGGACATTAGTGCGCCACTATTCAGCCATAATTTCCAGTCAGAATGCACTAAAAAATTCACGCACTGAAGCATTCCGATGTCCCCGAGCCACATTTGTGTGTGTGTGTGCTTCCTCCCTGTGTGTTTCACCCCCTACCCCCAGCAGCCTGCGAGGCAGCAGACACCGTCCAGGCGCGATGGACGCCACCTTCTGTGACTCGTGCTGAGTTGTGTGTTGTTCCCGGGTGGCAGATGGGTTCTCACGGGGTGCCTGGGCCAATGCTACCGGAGAGCAGTGTGGAGCCTTTGGAAAGAGCGCTGATTCGGAAGCACATTTTCCGTGGAGGCTGGAGGCTGGGCCTGGTACAGCGTGCAGGCAGTGCCCTTAGCCTCAACGGGAAGATCTCCTCATTGCAGGACTCACCCAGCACTGTGGACCGCATGTCTCTCTGGAGGGTGGTTCTGTGGCGTTCTGGAAAACGCCCAGCTTGTGCATGTGTTTGGTGTCTACCTTGTTTCTGCCAACAGTCTGCAGAGGGCCCTGCGTGAATCTGGAATAAAATAAAACAAAATAAAATGTTTGTAGCAAAGAAAAAAAGAGAAGGCTTTCATTTCTGTGGAGGGTCGTCATTCCCTAACACCGTGAACGTGGCTCGAAGGAGCCTCCCTTCCCTCCCGAGGTTTCTTTCCCTTTGTGATACCTGAAGCTCCGAAGAGGGTGGAGAGGATTTCACCTCCCTATGTCATAAAGAGACCTGGTCACCGGCTGAGCCGGGGTGGCCAGGCCTGTCCCTTCCCTCCAGGGTCTGGGGAGGTTGGGAAGCTGCCCCAGGTCTGAAAGGAAGCGGAGATTTTTGTCTCTGGAGGAAATTTCCAAAAACAGAGGTCCCTGGGTCACTGCATTTGACTAATGTAAATCCCGCGGCGTCTCCCTAACTTCTCACACCAAGTCCCCGGTAGGGCTGGTTGTTTGCAGCAGGGGCTGGGCCCGGAGAAGAGGGTCAAGCCAGTGACTTGGCGGTGTTCTAGGGGGCTCGAATTCCCAGTGCAGCCTGGGTGGTGCTGGCCACCTGGGGAGAGCCAGGGTGAAGGTGCCCTCTAAGATGGGAACAGGAAATCCAGGTTGCAGGGAGAGGCTGAGGAGGAGGGACTGAGGGAGCGGAGCACGCAGCAGGCCCCGCCCCGTTTGAGGGTGTGGCTGTGAGCCTTTGAGCCCACCCTTTCCAGGCTCCTTTAAGGCCCAGCTCCCAGGGATCAGAGAGTAGGTCAGCAGATCAAAGGACAGCACTAGGGACTTGATGCCTTTGGGCCCCCGTGGCTCCAAGGGGGCTGGGGTGGGTGGGGAGAGCTGAGCAGATGCCTCCAGCTCCAGGGACCCTAGGCCTTCTGCGCAGACCCTCCCCCCCCACCACCCCGAGCTCCGGGAAAGAGGTCAGAGCATCTCCCACCGGTTCCTGCACTGGCCGTCCAGCTCCCACCCCAGCCCAACTCAGCTACTTCCTGTGCCAGGGCAAGTGCCATCTCAGACACATGCTTAGGTCCTGACCTCTGGCCAGTTACAAGACATCTTCGTGCTTATTTCCTGAAGAAAGTCTTGAAAGTTCACACTGAAACTGAACTGAGTCAATCCCTGAAGAGCATGTGGTTTCAGCAGGACGGGCTGCTCATGCACCTGGGCCCCTCGACAGCCTGTTGTTCTCGGGCTTCAGCTTTGGAACCGCAAGATCTGCCCCCGCCTCAGCCACCCAGTGCCCTTCTGAGCACCTGCTCCATTTCACGTGGAAAAAAGCATATCTAAATGACAAAAGGACAATTCCTGCCTCACTTCTTGTGAATATGTGAAGGTGCAGGTTTCCCCCATCCTCACAGTTTCCCAGTTTCGTGTGTAAGTCCAGATATAAATAGACACAGGCTACAACAGCGTTTTCTTTGGTGATGGTTTGCAGAAATCACCATCTCCTTCCCAAGTAGTGGAAAGAAGGGTAATTGCAGGCACTCTTCATTCCTTAGCACAAGATCTGCAGGAAGCAGGAGCCTGGGTGGGCAGGGAGGAGCTGTGGTGGGAGCCAGCTGATGAGGGTGCACCAGGCCTTCTTTGCCTGTCTTGAGAAACCAGGTGTTCTAGGGAGAACTCTCGGAGCTGAGTTCTGCCCGTGGGACCGCTGGAGGGAAAACTCACCTGGACAGGTTTGGGAGCACTACTAGGATAAGACCTTTGATCTCTCTTTGTCTCCCTTCCTGAGACCCAAGCCCAGATCCAGTCTGCCCCAAAGCCAGCTGGGCTGGATCAATATAGATACTGGGAACAGGAAGAGACCCAGCAGGCTCCGCCTCACACGTTGTAAACCACACAAAGATCCACCTTCCCAGCTAGCTCCCTCTCTCGCCCACACCTGCCTCTCTCCAGGCAACTTTACGGAGAACCTGCATTTTCTATTACCGTGTTCTTAAATATAAACAGAACAACTGATCATGTTAAAGTCCACTAGCACCTTAGAGTCCATTGGGTCCAACCCTTGCTCTGTAGACAAATAAACAAATCCACCAGTGGATATGGAGCTTCAGACTTCTGAAATGGCACTGCAGCTAGACGGGCGTCCCAACAGGGCACAGAGCTGCTATGCTAGGTCTCCTGGCACAGCACCTGAAGGACCCGCACACACGTCCTGTCTGTGTTTCCAGGGAGGTGCCCTCAGCAGGTCTCAGGCAGAGTAGAAACTGAGGCAGGGTATGAAGGGGCCCTGGAGCTCAGTCACTGCAGAACAAAAAGGGCTGAAATGAATCCCTCTAGGAGTCACCAGAAAAAAGCCACAAAATCCTCCCCGTGATCTTGCTGAGGAAGAGGAGTCTAGACTGCACACCCCATCAACAACTAAAATTACCCTGGCAGTGGGTGTTTTCGGCTGGAGAGAGAAACAGCGCGTGCTCCAGGGTCCCTCCTGGGAGACTTCTTCCGCAACACTCTCTTCCCTTGGCTTTCTCAGTCACTGACCTCAGGACCAAGCAACCTGCCCCCAGCAGATGGGGGTGATAAGATGAGAAAGGCATGTGCCTTCGCACCAATCCCCTGGAGGAGGAGGAGGAGGCCAAGGCTGTGCTCTCTACCCCGGGGAGGCAGGGTCACAGACAGGGCTTCCTGCCTGGAACAGGTGGCTAAGAATCTCTGGTTTCCTTTACAAGCCTTCCCTCCCCAAAACAGATAGGATGGGGACCCAGGGCAGCATGGTGGGAACTGTGTGGTCCCTGCTGTCATACCTGGTCCCACTCCCGGCTCTAAGGCCAAACTGTCTGCTGGGAACAAGAATCTCAAACTCTCTGAACCTGTACTCTAGAAAATGGAGATGAAGCCGGGCGTGGTGGCTCACACCTGTAATCCCAGCACTTTGGGAGGCCAAGGAGGGTGGATCACAAGGCCAAGGGATCGAGACGATCCTGGTCAACATGGTGAAATCCCGTTTCTACTAAAAATACAAAAAATTAGCTGGGCATGGTGGCGCATGCCTGTAATCCCAACCACTCAGGAGGCTGAGGCAGGAGAATTGCCTGAACCCAGGAGGCGGAGGTTGTGTGAACTGGGATCGTGCCATTGCACTCCAGCCTGGGTAACAAGAGCAAAACTCTCTCTCTCAAAAAAAAAAAAAAGAAAAGAAAAGAAAATGGAGATGATAGGCCAGGTGTGGTGGCTCACGCCTGTGATCCCAGCACTTTGGGAGGCCGAGGCGGGTAGATCACCTGAGGTCAGGAATTTGAGACTAGCCTGACCAACATGGTGAAACCCCGACTCTACTAAAAATCCCAAAATTAGCCGGGCTTCGTGCCACATGCCTGTAATCTCAGCTACTGGGGAAGCCAAGGCAGGAGAATTGCTTGAACCTGGGAGGTGGAGGTTGCAGTGAGCCGCAATCGTGGCATTGGACTCCAGCCTGCAGAACAAGAGCTAAACTCCATCTCAAAAAAAAAAAAAAAAAAAAAAAAAAAAAAAAAATCTTCCTTCCAGTGTCATAGTGAAGATTAAGGATGAGAATTCTAGAAAGCTTATGGCACACAGTAGGTGTTCAAGAAATACAATTGTTTTCCTCTCTCCACTTAGAGGCAGAACTGCATGTTATCAGCCCAAAGAGTCATCTAAAGGCACGACAGACTCCAGGCGAATGCTTGAGATTTCTTCTTACCAGGTCGGCTCTGCAAAGCCAGAGCACACTAACCCCAAATTGCTGTTACTCATCCATTGCTATCCTCCTACCTTCCAACCAGTCCTGAGTGTCTGGGAATACCCTGTGTTAAAATGAAACCGATACCACTGGTGCCAACAAAGTCACTGTCACCAACTGTCACCTAGGTTAAAAAAAAAGCAAGGTCTCTATGTTTGCCTTTTAAAAATCCGTTTTGTAGCAACCTGGCCTGCTAAATTTAAAATCCGTTTACCTGGCACTGATTTTCTCTTTGGTCCTTACCCTCCTCACAGCCCCGGCCGGCCCTGTATTCACCTCTCACCTGCATAGGAAGCCTTGGTTTCTGGAACCTGGAGCTCCCTCCGGGTTCTCAGGCTGGCTGCAGAAGATAACTGGGTCTAAGGGCGCTATTGACAAAGCCTGGTGTTGATGCCGCTTGACTTCCCGACCCCTGTGTTGATTCTTTCAGCTTCAAAATGCCCTTGGAAGTGCTTTTACTGTAAATATTTGAAGTGTGCGTGTGGGGGGAGGGGGTAAGCTCTGGAGACTCACTCCTGGCCTCGCTCACGGGAAGCGCTTTCCTCTCCACTTCCCAGGAGGCCCCGGCAGCGCAAGAGAGACCGCTCTCCCACCTTCTACAGGGGGGCTGGCGGGGGTCGCAGCTGCAGGGCTCCTGGAGGACGCCGGGCCCTCTGGTTTTTTCACCGCCGAGGCGTGTGGGCCTCGACTCCCGTCAGCCCACGGGCATCCCTCCGCAGCCAGGAAGAGCTTTGTCACCGAGGATCCGCTCCACGGAGCAGGCATGTGGGCGACATCCGCAAGCCGACTTGGGTTCCTGCAGGCCTGGGCGCCCAGATCTGCCATCTCCGCCTTGACTGTCTGGGTCAGGGGCTCCTAGAGAGGATCCGTGGAGGCCAAACTCACACTCACATGCGCGTTTACACCCCCACGCCCCCGCACACACACCTGAAATGCGGGGCATTCCCAGAGCAGATAAGGTTCGACCTGCACAGCTTTGGCCACAGGGACACAACCCTCTCCTGCTGCGCCCTGGAGACCGGCAGATGGAAGGGCTTGGGAAACACAAAGGTCTTCAGTGCGCTGCCTTCACCTCGAAGAGCGGCCAGGTCTGCGCGCAGCCTGGGCGCTCCGAAGCGTGGGACGACCGCGCTCCGCCGGGCAGAGGTGACCAACGCAAGGGCCGGCGAGGAGGCCGGAGAGGACGCGCACAGCTGGCTCCAGGGACCAAGCCCGGAGAGGGCAAGGAGTCTCAGGAGCGGGTCTCGGGCCGTCGCGGGGATCTTCAGGGGTCCGAGGATTGCCAGTGCCCGCCCCCTGGCTCCGCACCCACGGGAAGGCGGGCAGAGGCCCCAGGTTGCACCTTGGAGCATCCACCCCCCAGCGGTGTCCCAGCCCGCCAGCGCTGCTCAATACCCTGGGCTGCTTAGGACCCCGCGGCGCGGGGGCGGGGCGGCGGGCGGCCGGGACGGTGACAGGTGCGCCCCTCGGCCAATGGCGGAGCCGGCGGCCCTCCCCGGGCCCCTCCGCGCGCTCCAATCGGAGGCCGCGCTCAGCTTCAAGTGCGCGGAGGGGCGCGGGTCCTCAGCTCGGCGCCAGCGGCCCTCCGCGCGGTCGCCTGAGGGCTGGATCGCAGAGAGGCCGGGCTTCCCGGCCCGGGCGCGGGGACGCACTCGCGTGGGAGTTTGTGCGAGCGCGGCCCGGGGCGGGGCCCGCACGGAGGAGGCGCCGGGACCATGGTCACCCTCGGCTGAGTTTCCGGCGGCGACTTTGATTATTGGCAAATAACCACCACAACAACACCGAACCCGCGGGCTTGCACCGCGCACACTGACTCCGCAGCCTGCACACCGCCGCGTCGCCCACCACCGGGCCCCGAGCGCCAGCCCCAAACGAGCCGATGGAAAAATCCAAAAATTTCCGCATCGACGCCCTGCTGGCGGTGGACCCCCCGCGAGCCGCCTCTGCGCAGAGCGCGCCGCTGGCCTTGGTCACGTCGCTCGCCGCCGCCGCATCTGGCACCGGAGGTGGCGGCGGTGGCGGGGCAAGCGGCGGCACGAGCGGCAGCTGCAGCCCCGCGTCCTCGGAGCCGCCCGCGGCGCCCGCCGACCGCCTGCGCGCCGAAAGCCCGTCGCCGCCGCGCCTGCTGGCCGCGCACTGCGCGCTGCTACCCAAACCGGGTTTCCTGGGCGCGGGCGGCGGCGGCACGGGCGGCGGGCACGGGGGGGCCCCACCACCACGCGCATCCGGGCGCAGCGGCCGCCGCCGCCGCTGCCGCCGCCGCCGCCGCCGCCGCAGGGGGCCTGGCGCTGGGGCTGCACCCGGGGGGCGCACAGGGCGGCGCGGGCCTCCCGGCTCAGGCGGCGCTCTACGGCCACCCGGTCTATGGCTACTCCGCGGCGGCGGCGGCGGCTGCGCTGGCGGGCCAGCACCCGGCGCTGTCCTACTCGTACCCGCAGGTGCAGGGCGGGCACCCGGCGCATCCCGCAGACCCATTAAGCTGGGCGCCGGCACCTTCCAGCTGGACCAGTGGCTGCGCGCGTCCACCGCGGGCATGATCCTGCCCAAGATGCCCGACTTCAACTGTGAGTACCCTGCGGCCCCCGGGCCGGTGGCGGGAGGGCCTCGCGCATCCTCTACCAGGCACCGCCTGCCCCTCTGTGTGCTCCGCTCCCAGCGAGCCGGGGAAGCGCTGTGAAGACGCCTGGGCTCTGCGAGGACTCGCCCAGACCTCCAGGCATGAGACGGGCAGCGAATTGTTAAAATGGCTATGCGCTGGCCTTGCCTTCTCTTCCTCTCTCAACGGGAAGGGGCAGTTGGAGGTGTGAGACTGAGATCTAATGATTAACCCGCAGGCTGCAGGAAAAGGAAGTCGCGGGGAAGGCGAGCCGGTGAGCGCCCCGAATTAGGCAGGCCTGGGAATGGGAGTCAGGTCTTAACACCGGGGAAAGGACTTGGGCCGGGGCCCCCATTCTGGGCGCTAGAGAGGACCCGCGGCCTCTCCTGGGAGAGGGAGTTGCTTCAGGAGCAGCAAACGAGAAATGGGCTTCGGAGACCCGGGGCTGCAAGGCCAGGGCCCAGGGAACCCCCCGGCTCTTACCAGGGCGCTGCCCCTCTTCTGGAAGGGCGTTAGACGGGGGTGCATGGCCGAAGCAGATGGCCTGGCTTAAACCAGCAATACGGGGACTCTAAACAGTGGATGCTTGGCCTGGAATCCCGGGCGCCCAGCAAAGTAGCAAATGCCTCTCCAAAGTGGGGCTGAGGAAGTCCCGGTTCCCCCCACCCCAGAGCTGCTGGGCTTCAGGCAGCTTCCTCTCCATCCGGGTGGGACACCTCGAGAGAGGCCTGGGACCCTCAGGCTTTCCTGGCACACGCGGACTCTCCGGGCTGGGGCTTGGGGCTCTGGCTCTCGCCACTCGCCCCATCGGGGTCAGCTACTTTTAAGTCGGGCTAGAGCAGAGGATGTATACCTCTCCACGCTTTCAGCGGCCCAACACCCAAACAAAGAGACCCCATTGTTTCTGTCTGAGTGGGTTTGTTTAGACTGGGGAGATGCAGGCCAGAGCAGGGGAAAAGCAAAAAAGAAAACAGAAATAAACACTCCAGAATTCAGATTCCTTTGCTGGAAGCCGTGATTGTGACTAAACAGAGAAAATCTAGGACCCCAGAGGCTGGAGAAGTCACAAGGGGGTGAGAAAATCCCTGCAGCTCGATGCTGAAGCTGCCGCAGGCTTCCCAGCTCAGCTCCAAGAAGGCCCCACTGGCCACCCATCCCTCCCTGGGAGAGTCAGCCCCACTGACTCCAGCTGGAAGAGGAAAAGGCTGCCTCTCACCTCAGACTCCTCTGTGACTGTGATCTCCTGCCAGCCTGGGCTTAAAACTCAGAGCACACTCCAAGGCCTGGCTGCCGACCCAGGGCCCAACCCTTCTGATAGAAAGCCTAACCACTATAACCTGCATTTCCTAGAGCCAGGGATGGGAAGGTGCCCACTGAGTGGGCTGGCCAGCCCAGGGGGCAGTGGTCCTAGGCCTCCTGGACTTGTAGCCCAAGGTCACTGAAAACATTTATTAAAGTGAGACACCTTTCCCAACACACCTTGCCATTTCTGATTTTCGAATGTTGACCTAGAGTTGGCCAGATTTCAAACACAGCTGGCTTTAAGCTCAGGAGAGGAATCTGCAGCGGGCAATCCAGAAGGGCAGGCAGAACCTCGCCAAGGACAGCGGCATGTGTTCTGAGAAGCCCTCCTCGCTGGTCACGGGAAACCTGTTTGGTTTCTTTAATTGGTTGTCTCTGCCCGTTGGATGGTATTTCCCAAATGGTCCTCCGGAGCCAGTGTTTTAATTAAAGTTCTAATGTATTGTCAAGTTGGGAATTCGGGGCCTTGTTTGACTAAAGCAGGGGCGTGGGCCATCCTCTAAAGCAAATTGCCCATCCCGGGGGACCTGAGCTCATCCAGGCCTGGGGCTGGCCTCCTTTCTTTCCTTTTCTTTCTTTCTTTTATTGTCTAACCTTGTCAGGCTCCTGGGAAATCAAGGGAAGTCTCGTTTTGAGGTCATAAAATTCTCTGTGATGTAACCGTGCGAAATTATGTAAATAAAGCCGGGCAGGCCTCCTCGAACACACAGAGGACCGGATCCTGCCTGCGCCTCTGCCTGTAATTTGCGTAAGGAGAATTGTCCTGAAAAGGCTTCCAGACTCCCCAGGACTTGCCCTCCCCCCCTCCCCCCTCCCCCCACCGCCTGCCCCAGGAGGGGGTTTGTCAAGTAAAAGGTTTGAAAGGTGGGAGGCTCCCTGATGAATACAGACTTGGATCCTGGGTTTCGTCCTGTTCTGTCCCTCCCTCCCTTCTTTTCCTCTCTCCCTCATTCCTTTCTTGCTTCCTTCCCTCTCTCCCTCCCTCCCTTCCTCTTCTTCTCTGCCTCCTTTTCTGTCTTAAGGAGGAGAGGAGGCAGGCCTGCCACAGCAGCACCAGCTCTTCCCAGACCTGTCTGGATCTGAGCCTGAAACCTCTAGGAAGGTGCGGTGAGGACAGGGGAGAGATTTGGTTTCTACCACGCACTGCTCCTTTATTTTGTTATTATTATTTATTGAGAGATGGGGTCTTGCGGTGTTGCCCAGGGTACAGCGCAGTGGTGCAGTACCTAGCTCGCTGCAGCCTCGAACTCTTGGGCTTCCTGAACTTCCATCTTGGCCCCCAACTGACCTCATTTCTTCTCTTGCCTCTGGGTCAAGATGCTGTCATACCGATGCCAGCTCCTGTGGAGAGGTGCACCCAGCGATGGACCCTGCTTAACAGGGACACTCAGACGTCTCCAGAAAAAAAATGAGACCAGAAAAAAAAAGCCCAAACCACCCATTTCCACTTGGGTCGTCTGGGTCCTGAGTCCCCATTCCTTGGAGAGGGGGCACTGATGAGGAGGGAACAGCCTCACCCTCTGCAGTGCCAGGAAACTTCCCACGCTGGGGCCTTGTAGTAGTGGTACCAGCAGCCACCGGAGGGTGGGGGCGAGGACCGGCCGGCTGTGGGCCTCACTGCCCTTTGGTCCCCAGCCCAGGCGCAGTCGAATCTCTCTGGGGAAGTGCCGCCGGCCGCGCACCGCCTTCACCAGCCAGCAGCTGCTGGAGCTGGAGCACCAGTTCAAGCTCAACAAGTACCTGTCTAGGCCCAAGCGCTTCGAGGTGGCCACCTCGCTCATGCTCACGGAGACCCAGGTGCGCGCCCGCCCCGCCCCAACGCATCCAGGCCTCCAGGGGGCACTGTCACCTCTGCACTCATGACCCATGGGCGGTCTTGGGCATCTGGCACTGCACCCCAACGGTTCAGACAGCAGGCGGGGCGCACGGGTTTATCTAAGGAGCCCAGAGCGCCGATTCAGTAGCTTCGGGTGGGGCCCAAGAATCTGCACTTAAGGACCCCTCATTTTTTCTGAAGAAGCTGATCCCCTTGTTCTAGAAAGAGAGGAGGGACATCCTGAGTTGTACCACGGCTCGCCCACTGCACTGACCCTTCCTCGGTAGAGGGAGGGTGCGGGGAGAAAAGTCCCCAGCCTGGGCGCCAGGTACACAGTCCTAGCTCCCTCGGAGCCCCAGCCAGCTCTGGGTTTGCTGCTGAGTGGGAGGTGGTGGGGAGGAGGAAGCCACGGGCCCCTTCCCCATTCCGCTTCTAAGTCGTCTTACCCAGAGGCCATTACAGGGTCGACCGCTGCGGCCCAGGCCTTCGCGGCGAGTCCTCGGGGACTCCAGACAGGAAGGCTTGAAGGCGGCGGGCTGGTTTCTCACGCCCGCTTGTGCCCACAGGTGAAGATCTGGTTCCAGAACCGGCGGATGAAATGGAAACGCAGCGAAAAAGGCCAAAGAGCAGGCGGCGCAGGAAGCGGAGAAACAGAAGGGGCGGCGGCGGGGGCTCGGGGAAGGGCGTACGGAGGAGTCGGGCGCCGAGGAGCTGCTGGGGGCCGCCCGCGCCCGGGGACAAGGGCAGCGGACGCCGCCTGCGGGACTTGAGGGACAGTGACCCCGAGGAGGACGAGGACGAGGACGACCAGGACCATTTTTCCCTACAGCACGGCGCCAGCGCCCACGCCGCCTCCTCCGACTGCTCCTCCGAGGACGACTTGCCGCCCCCGCGGCCCAGCCACCAGCCCGCGCCCAGTAGGAGTCCGGCCCAGCAGGTTCGGGCGCGCTGGGAGCACCGCGGGCCCGCAGCTTCTCCCGGAGGACCCCGGGCGCCCGCGCCACTCAGCGCAGCCCGCCGGGGAGAGCTGGCTTGGCCGCCAGCCTGGTGGACCCGTAGCCCAGGCCGGGCTGGAGGGATCGGCCTCGGCCTCCAGTCCTAGGCGCTTCCCTTTTAAGCCAGGGCACCTCGCCTTCTCTTCAAGAAACAACGAGAGGGAGACCCGGGGGTTGAAACTTGAACTCTGGTTCTTTTAATTTTGGCTGGCGTGGGGAGGTGGCGAGGTGCCTGTGAGAGGAACCGACCCCCCCCCCACCCAAGGGGACCCTCCCGTCTCCCCTCTTCCCGCGTGGAGAAGGCGGAACCCCACAGTGTTACCTGACTTCTGAAACTTGAAACCGCCTCTGGAGCCGCCTTCTGCAGAGTATTGGGAAAGAAAAAGGGTTTATGCTTATGTCTCTGGGGTCGGGGGATTGTGTCACAAGCGTTCAAACTGCTGAAAATCTCAAAACTATACTGTCTTTATTTTATATATTGTATTTATATATAAAAAGAAACGTCTACGTATGCATGCTAAATTATATTTAGCTTCTTCCCATCGCCCACGATGAAATGTAAAATAAATTGCTTTTGTACTGGATCAGAGTGCACCCGTTTCGGGGGTTATGCCTGCGGCTTTACGGGTTGTTCGTAGAAATGATGGGGAGGGTGTCTACTCTGCGGGTTGGCAGCCGATGGTGGAAAATCGGAGTCTCAAGTGGGTGTCGGGACCACCTCCGCCTGCTGCTGGGGAGTCGCAGTGTGAAGTGTTGGCAAAAATACCTGTGGCCAGGTGTCAGCGCGTGCCTGGCTGCCTGACCCACGCCCATCCCGGTACAGGTGCCCCCCAAAAGCAGAGCTGGAACTCTATTTATTTTCCTATTCCTCGCGGGGCTCTTGTTTCGATGGCATTCCAGAAGTGGAAATACACTATTTGGGCGTCTCAGAAAATAAGCTTCAAACGATTAGGTGTTAGTGGCGTGTGGGGTCCGTGAGACCTCAGGCACTGCTTAGGCACATTTCCTGGAACGCACGGAATTGCGCAGTGCTTCTGTCCTCCTCGACCCCGGCCCTGTCTGTTGGCAGAACCTTCCTTGGCTGGCCAGGCTCGGTCTTTTTGGCCCAGTGCAAACCTCGTCCCGCGAGGACAGCAGCTGGATGCAGGAGCGCTCGGCACCGCTGCTGCTGCGGCTCCGGTTAATCAGCCCCTGCAGCGCGCGCCATCATTCACCGCGGCCAGCGCCGGCGCCATGTGCTGTGCACATGCGGGCCTCAGCCCGCGCTCATCGCCGGCCCGGGAGCGCAGGGCCGCGGCCATTCAGCCCGGCGCGCCCCCCCGTCCCTTTCCCCATCGCTGACCAGTGGGCCCTCTCCAGGCTTGCAGGAGAACGGCGACCGTGGACGCCCGCTCCTCTCCCTCCTCCCGGGCCTTCCTCCTTCCTTCTGTTTGTCACTTTCTCAGCAGCACCTGCGAGTGCCCTTCTCCTCCCTCCTTCCCGCCCCCCTCCCAGCTGATAAAATGAGTTCAGAAGGGCCTGGTGTTTCATTTGGGTGATTACCCGCGGGCAAGCGCGGCCACTCCTCTGCCTCAGGCGCGGGGAGATTAATATCCTCTCTGGCAACTCATTATCACCCCCGGCCCCTTCCATAAAATCACCTCAACCAAGGCCGGGGCGCGGCTGCTGGGAGTCCAGGCAGAAGCAGCTGCTGGGCGCTGGCACAGGGGCCCGGGCTCCGCCGCCTGGGGTCCAAAGGTGCTTTGAGGGACGTGGAGAGGGTTTGCCATTTGTGGAGGAGGAAGGTGCACCAGAGAAGGGAGTGGGAAAACCGGGGGTGGGGGGGCAAGGGGAAGACGGATTTTTGTTTGTTTTGTTTGTTTTTAAAATATCTGCAATCTGTACATTTCTTTTATTTCTAACACCATTGGTGAGGTTCAGCCTGCAGCAATCTCTCCCGCCTGGCTTCACATCTGGAGATTATGTTCCCCTTGGGCTCAGCTGGCCCAGCCATCGCCCCCCACCCGCAGTGGGCAGACAGGGAAGGCGGGCTCGCCTGGGAAGGGTCTCACGCCCGGAGCTGGGGCGCCCCAGGCCTCCGCGGAGGGTCTGTCCCTCTACCCTCAGGGCGCAGGCGCTTCCTCCGGGATGCGGGGGGGAAAAGCGACACTGAAAGAAGATGCTGTTAATAGGGCCGCCCCTCCCCCCGTCTTCCAGCAGAGCCAGGCCCGGGACCTGCGCCGGCCCCTGCGCCTGCAGGGCCGCTCATCGCGGCGGAATTTATCTCGTTAATAAATTTAATGATCAATTCGTTCTTGTCACAGTAGCTCTTCCCCAAATCAATTATAGCAAAATTAAATATAATCACTGGCTCGTCCTCATCCACTCCGGGCACGGTGCACAATTCATTCTGCCTAATGAACGGTCGGGAGGCCGGGCTCTGCCCGTCTCGCAGGCGCGCTACTCACCTCTAGACCACGCGCTCGGGGTCGCTGACTCGGCTTGGCCTGTAGCGGGGGTCTCCTCGGGGCCCCGCCCTCCAACCGCACCCGAGTCGCCAGCTGACCCCGCGCATGGGGGAGAAAGTCTTGCGACCCCCAGGAATCGGGTTCGTAGGACCTGGAGCAAGGTCTCCGCAGGGGGAGCCCAGAGGGAGCTGAGGCGGTGTTTGGTGTTTTCAGACAGGCCCAGGCCTCCGCCCCGGGACTTTTCTGATGTCTCTGGCTGTCCCGGAGGCCTGCGGAGTTCACCGCCTGCAACGGAAGCGAAGGTAGGCGGGGGGGAGACCCCCGCGGCGGCGGTCTCTGCGACCGCCAGGGCGCTGGGTTCTCACGGAGGGCCCCCACCCAAAGCTGACTCTGTCCTTTGGAACCCCAACCTGGCCTCCCTGCCGCACCGAGGCCCCACCTCTCGCCCACCATTTTCTTGCTCCAGCGTGGGTTCTCCTCCGTTCTTAGAAAACGGCGCCTTGCCGTGGGCGAGTTCTGCTGGGCGTGGAAAAGCGTGTGGATGAAGCCTTTCAGTGCCGGGAGAAAACGGTTGACACGCGCCCACCAGAGGCCGGCCAGGGGGCTCCTTTCCAGCCCCTCCTGGAGCTCAGGCTGCCGGGTGAGAGGCAGCCTGGAGACCCCGGCTAAGGCCTGGTGTCAAGGAGTAAAGAAACAGCTCGAAGGGAGAGGAGGTGGACCTGTCCCTTCCCCCATCCGGTGACTTTCCTTCTCGGACCCCGAACGCGAGGCAACCAAAGCAAAAATAGACAAACGGGACCACGTCAAACTGAAACGTCCGCGCCACAAAGGACAATCAACCAGAGTCGAAGGCAGCCTGGGAATGGCAGATGCCATCTGCAGAACGAATCTGGTAATGGGTTAATATCCAGGGTAGGTATCTCACCACTCTCAACAAAACCAAACTACACGGGCAAATGACTTGACTCCAAATAAGATTTTGAAATGGCAGCAACCATATGAAAAGATCTCAAACACCGCAGGCCTCGGGAAACGCAAATCAAAGCCACAGATGTCACCTCACACGTGTTAAGACGGCCAATATAAAACAAACAGGGATGTGGGAAATTGGAGCTGTTGTGGGAATGTAACATGGTGTGGCCATTATGTAAAGTAACACAGAGTTTCCTCAAAAATTCCTCAAAAAATTAAAAATCAAATCACCATCTGATCCAGCAGTCTCAGTTCTGGGTATATATCCAAAAGAACTGGAAAAAAATAATAGCTCAGA